GCTTCTTCGTATTGGCGAATAGTGTAAATGTGCTACACCATAAATTCATGGCAAAGTTCATGTGTTATTTCTTCCAGTAAATTGTTGTTGTTATTTTTTTTTTTTTTTTGTAACATTAGTTTTTATATCTGTCGTTCCATATGAGAGCCTAAATAAACAGTCATCGACCAAGCTGGTTGAACAAATGTTTGTTTCATTTTTTCGCATAAATTAAAGTAAATCAGTGTAAATTTCACATATGGAAAAACATTAACATTCTATGAAAATGTTTAACATTCCCCCCAAAATGTGAAATGATTTCTATGCCATGTTAATTTTTTCCGGATGGGTACTAATAAACACAAGAGACCATTCTCAACTTAAGGTCATTGCTTGGATATCAAAAAAAAAAAAAAAAAAAATATATATATATATATATATGCACACTAAATTAGGCAGTATCTTAGTTTATTGTTGATTTGGATCTTGTTTATAATTTTGTTTAGAACCATTCTTTGAGTACACCCCAAGGGGTGGGTAAATGCCCATTTGCGGGTATTGAATCTGTAATATAACATCTATTTCCGGGTTTCTATTAATAAATCGATTTAAAATGAATAGTTTTACAATACTTTAAAGACATGGGTACTCGGGTATTTACCCAAAAATTGGGTATAAACTAATTAACTGGAGAACCACCTGTCATAAGCTGCCAAAATTTGACACAGATGGTTTTTATATCAATAGAACTACTGGTATAGGAAATGGGGTCTTTGGATTCAAGTTTTGATCAAATAAAATTTGGCTTGTATGTTTGGTATGGAAATGGGGTCCCTGGGTTTAATTTTTGATAAAGCCCCCATATATCCGTGCCTCCCGATTTAAGGTATTTTTTGCCCATAAGACACATTTTACGATCAAATTGATTGCAATTTGGCATAGGTGTTCTTTATTGGTACCAAATATCCACGCATAAATTTATAGATGGAGATCCACGTTTTCTGGTAGACCCATACAAGGGCATCCCTATTTTGAGTATTTACCCAAAAATTGGATATAAACTCATTAACAGGAGAACCACCTGTCATAAGCTGCCAAAATTTGGCACAGATGGTTTTTATATCAATAGAACTACTGGTATGGGAAATGGGGTCTTTGGATCCAATTTTTGATATAGTCCCCATATTATTTAGACACACATTTTACTATCTAATCAGCTGTAATTTGGGAAAGAGAGATTTCTATGGATACGAAATATCCACGCAAAAATGTATAGATGTAAGACCACGCTTTCTTGTAACCAATACAAAGGTAAGCCAATTTTTAGTATTTACCCAAAAATTGGTATAAACTCATTAACTGGCGATTTCAATACAAAGCAATTAAAAAGTCGTGTTCACACCCTCTAACATAAGGTGGACATTCAAAATACCTAAAATCAATCGGGATTTTAATATAAGGGCTAAGTCATTGTAAATTGCTACAGATTCTATGGTTGTCAAACTGGACTAAGACCTTGAACACACCGAAAATGACACGTGACCTTTGCATGGGTTCCATGGAATAATATTGAAAATGTTATGTGAAAAATGTATGTACCCACCCATGCCCGAAATGAATATTGACAGACCCTTCGTAATGTAAAACCAGCGGAGTAGTATAGTCGATAGGTCGAATGATGCCCTACATAACTACCACTCTAATCTTAGCTTCTGCAGATCTATATTCCGGCAATATTTCGCGATATTTGCATTCACTTGACCGATTACAGGTCATGAGCTCCACTTTTTAAATATTTTCCAAATCTTGTTTTCCCGAGGTAAATATTTACACTATATTATACAAATTTTGTCACTTTAGGTTTTGGTTGATATGACCGTCGGAATATTGTATTTGGTCACCATGTAAAATGCATATAATAACCTCTAGAGCGACTAGAAAATCTGACAAAAATAAAGTTTTCGGTTCATTGTACCCCATAAATATCATCTCTACAACAGCGTCCTTAACCAAAACCGGAACTTCATGTAAAATTTCAAGACGATCAGCTCGAAATTTCTACCCTCTAGTTGGGTAATAATAATACTAAACAATATCAGAATACGTAGCCCCTGTAAATATTTAAGTATAACACCCACATCCGAGTACATACAACAATATAATTGGTATCAATTTTAAGGTCAAACACCCCTCTTGTTCTACGACTTCAGGAGTAAATAAGTACGACTCAGAATACAAAATTTGTCATTCTTCACAAAAAAGTCTGGGTCCATTTGACCCACAAAAAATTAACCGATCTTCATCAAAACTTACATGCATATTCTATGGTCAGACTCTTCTCTCTATGTAGAATTTCGTGGTGTTCGGGTCATAATTGTGGCCTCTAGAGCTAACAGAAAAACAGACAAACATACAGTTGTTGGTCCATTTCCAAAAACAATAGGGTTCTCCATTGGCCAGAATCCTCGCTACATGCAAAATTTCGTGACAATTGTTTACAAATTATAATGGACAGATGGACGGACGAACACACATGTCTAGATCGACTCAGCTAGTCGAGATATGACGATCGGTATACTTAAAGGTGCGTCCAATATTTCGTCAATATTTCGCGGCGTTACAAACTCTTGGGACTGCACAAACTTATAATACCCTGACAACATAGTTGTGTAGAGTATAAATATTGTGATTTGTGTATAGGGTCATACAAATACTTATGATAGGACTGGGCCTTTAAAAGGAGGCTAATTTTTGGTAGGAGGATTTAAAATCCAATGAGACCCCAAAGTATAATATTATACCCAATTCGGTGGGTAAAACGTGCCCAAAGTACCGAAAAAATCGGGAAATCGCAGCTACCCCGAAAAATGGACTTATATTTATAATTATTAGTAGAGCGATTTGTTTCCAAAAGAGAATCTGAAAGAAGCAAGTAAGAAAGTGTCAGTCGGTAGACCATCAAAATTTGGTTCGAAAACTTTGCCCAAATATTGTTTGATAATGAAAATTTTTATTAAATACACACTTCACCCTGTGCTAAAACAATATATAAAGCTTTTTAATCCTCTAAGCACTTGAACGGCCCTTAGTTGCTAAAGTCAAATTTTATACACTCTCCAAAGTATAGTGGATGTCGTTACCGCAGCCAGTTATATACCTCAGCCTTTTCCATCCGCTTCATATCAAAAGTAAAAGTTTACGGTGAATGTACCAGAAGGAATGAACCGATAGACTTCGCCCTATTTGTCAGTAATTTACATAAAATCAAACTAAAATATATGTGGAAGTTATATCAAAATCTTAACGGATTTTAGCACACATCATTCTAGACTCAATTCTATACGCTATGCCAAATTTTGTGCAAATCGAAATATATATAGGGGCTTAGGTGCACCATTTACATAAAATCGGACGAATATATATGGGAGCTATATCTAAATTTGAACCGATTTTCACCGATTTAACTTAGCACACACCATTCTAGACACAATTCAGTACGCTATGCCAAATTCCGTGCAAATCGAAAGATATATAAGGGCTTAAGTACACCATTAACATAAAACCGGACATTGGAACCGACTTTCACGAAACTTAGCACACATCATTCAAGATTCCATTTAGTACGCTATGCCAAATTTCGTTCAAATCGAAAGATATAAATCGAACGAAAATATATATGGAAGCTATATCTAAATCTGAACCGATTTTTACCAATTTCAAAAGGGTTCGTCCTTGGGTCAAATAAATGAATGTACATCGCGACCTGTACATTGTTTTCAATATAACATGGACAGACGGACAATTTGACGGACATGCTTACATCGATTCAGAAAGTGATTCTATGCATATTATCCTGTATCACAATGTAGAGAAGGGTATAAATATTGTATGTATTATAGGTATTTAATGGTTCTATGCGTATTTCCATATGATGTGGCTGTAATTTGGCTTTCTGGGTTATAGGATGACTGACTCTGATATTTGATATTTCTCCCATGTAATGATATACCCTTTTTGCATGTAATTGAAAGGTTTTCTGAGTCAATTCATTGTCTCGATAAAGGTCCCGCTCCAGACAGTTGAGTGTCCAATTTAACCACATATCGTATCGGAATGTATATACCCTCATTTGCCATAAGTCTGATATTCTTTCCAAAGATTTTTTTAACTTATCACCTTGATGTATGAAATCCACATGACCTTTATTTCGAAAATCGAAATATTCAACTTTAATATTTTTGTTTTTGGTAGCTTATAGGAAGTGAAATGTTGTCTGAGGTGTTAGCCTAAATGCTATAAAGCAACGCAGCTACGGCTTTCTTTATTTCAATAACAACAGATAACCCACAATAACATGAATGCATTTTTTACGAACATAAATGAACATTCTCACGATTAAATTGTTTTACAAAAGAAACTATTTCATATCATATACTGGTTATACTTGAAGTGCATTTAACATCCGAAATAATGGAAGTAGGTCGAACAATAGCCTAAAGCATGTTTTGTTTTGAGTTTTTAGTTTTTTTTTTTGTGAAACAGAAGCCGTTAACCCATTTAATGAATTAATTGTCCAACACGAATGTCCGACTTTTAAATACGAGAACGTGAGTGATTAGTAGATATCCGAACTAGCTGAATATATTCAATCACAAAATAAAGAAAGAAACAAAAAGACATTGACAATTTCAAATAGAAAAAATACCAACAACAACTATAATCCAAGAAATAGAATTTTCAATAATTCAATTATTTTCTAAACAATATTACAAAGCAGAAGTCGATTGAAGATTGGTTTTTGGCTATAGATTTCGAAATAAACGGACAGACAGACGTTAGTAACAGCCTCTCGTGGAATACAGAAAGACGGAAACGGAAGTTTAATTCAATATCAAAAACAAACAAGAACATCAAAGATACAACAGCTTATAAAAGGTATTGATATTAAGGAAAGAAATGAGGAGAATGATGTCTCAAAATGATTTTTATTTCCACCAGCCACCCTTACCTCAGGTGTCATTATGCATAAGTGCAACAATTTACAGCTGCGTGATGTCTCCAGCTTCACATCATCGAAAAAACTCAGCCGATGTCGTTCCTTTCATTTCCGTTATTTGGAATTGTGTCGTGCCAAAAATCTCACCCCGTTAACTGATATTAAGGCGAAAAATAATTGCACCTCTTCATTGGATTTTTATGGCGATAAATTAGATGTTAACGATTGGTTGCTGATCGTTGAGGCTCTCTACTATGATGAGGTTCTGCAAACATTGGCAATACGCATGCGGAAAACATTTCCCACGGGTAAGAAAAAGTGGAAATAATTGATAATAGTTTTTATACCCCTATAGGGTGGAGTATAATATCAATATTTTTGTTCATCAGTCAATTCGTCTGACTGTTGAAATTCCCATAGAGGTCGCAATATTTAAGAGAGAGAGAGAGCTTTGGCAATTGCTACTACTGCTAGGATGTTTGCTAGAATATTTTTCCATATTGCGAAAAGTTTTGAAGGCGTTAGGCACATCCTCCAACAGAAAGGGAATAATTTCGCAATTCCCAGTTCTTGGGTGATGAAAAACATCTATGTAGAAAATGTTCAATATAGGACTTATATATAAAGATTTTAAATATTTGATGACGATAATAGTTAATACAAGGAGGACTTGCCTTATAGACCCCCCTCTTCTGATTTAGTGTAGATTTTGGAGAACTCAATGGATCAAATGGTATACTCCATTCGCTTCTAATAAAATTTACAAGTTTTTGAATAGTTGTTGAAGAGGTGCATAGGTGGGTTCTGTCTTTGGTAAAAATGTATGTGCACTGTTCAGATCAAATCGCTTGATATTCGATTAACAAATTTCCAATATTAGTAGGGGAATTTTCTAACAAATCTAGGTGATTTGATAAATAATATTACGATATTACGGACACTTCAATAGATTAATATAGGATTTAACATTTAAAAAAACCTTAGACACTTCGTGGGGGAGTTACAAGAATGTGTGTACCGATGGGTTCCGTTTTCGGACTTGATATAGGGTTCCTAAAAATATTATGAATTGCAATCAATGAACCAAATGGGGATCTTCAATCGCTTGACAAACACAAAATTTCAAAATTTTTTACACTCTATGGGGAAGTTATCATAATTTGTGGAAAGATGGGTTCCATCTTTGGACTTCAACTATGTTTAATAGAATTATTACGATGTACACAATTGAATGAAATTGAATGTCCCGTTCGATTCATACGAGAGTTTTAAATTTCTAAAAGTATGACTATTTGTGTGGTAGGTACTAAAAAGTGTGGACCGAAAAACACCAAAAAATTTTAAAAATTTCTGGGGGTGCATCAGGAGGAGTGGATTGATATTCCGCATCTTAACACGTGATTTAAATTGGTTCTAAATATTATCGTATCCACCAGAAAGATGAACATTTGCAAATTGACTCCAAATTGGATGAAAACTTCTTGGCTCATAGAAACTTGGAGTCTATAGCCGATATTTTGATTATTGACAGCCATAAGGCCAAGGGTATACAATTTTAAATTTGGATATATACCATACATGAAAGTCCCATCCCGTCATAGGAATTTTGATGGTTGTAGGAATATTCCAAACGAAGTAGTTGTAATTTGGACTCAAGAGTGTCGCTCCATTTCCGGTATAGATTCCTCAGAATATATTCAATATAGAAAGTTGTTTTGAAGCAGTTCAAAAAAATTAATATAGGATTATGTTAAAACATGATCACTATATAAATTTACCGCTCCGATTTAGGTTTTTGAGGGTCCAAAACATATTTTCCAAGCTGAAGTTGTTGGAATTTGGCATCACGGGGTTTAAGAGGATGAGAAAATATTCTATTTAAGTACATGTTCAGACATTGCTACCATACAAAGGTCGCGTACCCAAAATTTTCAATAGAAGTCCATTCTATGGACAAATCTCGATTTAGGTATTTTAAGGATTGTTTTGACATAACCATCATAAAAATGTCTAGCCCCATTTGTATACCCTTCACCACAATGTGGTAAGGGTATTATGTCATTGTGCATATGTTTGTAACAGGGAAAGGAAACGAGATGGAGAATATGCATAGAATCACTTTCTAAGTCGATTTCTGTATATACGCCCGTCTGCCCATTTTAAATTATAAACAAAGTTTAGGTCGCATTAATGATCCGAATAGGATAAAATTTGGCATAGGTCACTTATTTGGTAAATAGTGCACCAAAGACTCAATGTTTGTCAGATTGAGACACAATTTTTCACAGCTTACTGGTTCGTTTGATTTTAGGTAAATGGTGCACAAAACACCCAATGTTTGTCCGGTTGAGGGAAAAATTTCGCACAGCGTACTAAATTAGGTAAAGCTTGGTGGGCGCTAAGTTTTTTTTTTTTTTTTAAATCGGTTTCGATACCTTGGTGGGCTCTAAGTTTTTTTGAAATCGGTTCAGATTTAGATATAGCTCTCATATATAGTTTCGTCCGATTTTAGGTAAATGTTGCACCAACCTCCTAATTATGGTCCGATTGAGACAACATTTCGCACAGAGTACTGAATTAGGTTCTAATTGATGTTTTTCGAAGTTTTGTTGGAATCGGTTCAGATTTAGATATAGCTCACATATATAGTTTCGTCCGATTTTATGTGAATGAAGCACCAAACTTCCAATATTGGTCCGATTGAATCACGATTGTGCACAGTGTTCTGAATTAGGTCCTAATTGATGTTTGCGAAGTTTTGTTAAAATCGATTCAGATATAGAAATAGTTCCCTTACATAGTTTCGTCCGATTTTATTTAATTGGTGCACCATACTGTCAATGTTTGTCCGATTGAGACAAAAGTTTGCACAGCATACTGAATTTAGTCCAGTTTGGTGCCTGTGAAGTTTTGTTGGAAACGGTTCAGATTTAGATAAAACTCACATATATAGTATCGTCCGATTTTATGTAAATGGACCATCGAGGATATTTTGCTGTTGAAATCGATTCAGATGTAATTATAGCTCCCACATATATTTTTCCGATTTTGTGCAAATGATGCAGGCGAAGGAGCCTATGTCTGTTCGTTTTACATGAAATTTTGCATACCGTATTGAATTGATGTCGTTTCAGCTTTAGATATAGTTTCCATATATTTTTTCATCCGATTTCATCTAAATGGTGTACCAAACCACTAAAGTTTGTCCGATTAGGACGAATTAGTGCACAACGTACAAAATGGAACTCAGAATAACGTGCATTGGATTTTGTATCGAGATAAATTTTGGATAGTGCACTGTGCTGCAGCATACCAAATGTTGGATGCTTCCTTTGCTCAAATACGTCCACTTATGTATAGCTCTCATACATATTTTGCTCTTTATCTTACAAATGATTGACATTTAATTTCTCACACATTTCAGATTGGTGTGTGTGTGGGTTCTTGTTAGTTCAAATATATATGTACTTCACCCCGTTAATTTCGTCTGCTTCCATTTAATGGTTCTCTATAGATGCTATGGTTATTCTATCTACAGGATTTTATACATATGAGCATCTCTTGCATGTACCCAAAGAGGTGAAAGGTATCATATAGTTGGCCCTATCCGACTTTTAAACTTTCCTTACTGCTTAATATTTTGACACTCCAAAGCATTTTATATATTTCGATGGTACTAGGCGCATTTATCAAAGGATGTGACTTTAATTTGGCATTTAGAGATTGTGGTTCGTAGTAAATTCCTTCGCATATCCGAAATAAATGCCTTGCTCCATTTTCCATTATATTTCTTGGTTCGGCTGAACTTGGCGTCGTTTTTATACTCTTCCCCTTAAGGCGAAATGTATTCATCGGATCAAATATTGACATATTCTAGATCAAAATAAAATTGTGTCCCTATTAAGCCATGACTGTATTCTGTGTGTCCATCTGAAATCATTATGGAACTCGCAATAGTAAAGATCCGAGTTTTGGAATTTTGCACATACATTGCTACTAATCGTAGAATATTCGGGGCTCTTTTTCGAATAGTCTGTAATTTAGTATGTAGAATAATTGGTTAGCAAAACTCCCTACCAAAGATTATCAATATTGGTCCCATTCTTAGGTTTCTAGCCCAATTTTCCAACCTGTAGTTTGGTATTTCGTAGGCTCCCATATCGATTTTAGATATTTTGAATTCGCACCTGTACCATGCACTTAACATAATTTTTTGTTGTTTTTTTAGTTCTAGAACATTTGGATACGGAAAAGAAAGCTCGACTATTTCGTCAAAAACCGGTGCTATTTACGAAATTCATATTTTCTGGTGTTGTGGAGGCGGTATCGAACTGCATTCAATTTAATAAGAATTTAAGAGTGCTAATTCTTGATGGACTGCCATTGAATGACAAATATGTGGGAACTATAGCTAAGGTAATGTATAATATGAATAGAAAATTTTAATAATCTATACCGCACTGGTACTGGATTCAGCTACAGGTGAAATTTTTATTTATATTAAAGTAAATTTAGTACTACTCATTTATATTGGGTCAAGAATGAACCGTACTGAAATTGGTGGAAATCGGTTCATTCTTCCGATTTGATGTAATATACCACTGAGTTCAGATGAATTCTAAAGGTCGTTTCCACAAGTTGAGGACATTGGGAATTCCACTAGTAAAGTCCATTTGAAAATGTTTTAAATATCGTCAAAGCGGAATTGGCGCCCAAATAACCATTTATATAATGTCTTAGGTCATCGAACATAATGTGGCCCCCTACACTAGGGTCAATGAAATAAGCAGTCACGGAAAGGATCTGAAGATCGCGAAAGTGGAATTGGCGCCCAAATAAATAACTATATATATATTATTTTGTCACTTCCAACCTTTAGTAGACTCCCTAAGACTAGGATAAATCAAGTAAGCAATCGCGGACTGTTAGCAAGTTTTGAATTATAAACGAATTATATATTGTATAATGAATTACATATTGTATTATGTCCGACCTCTTGTTTATCAGTATTTCACGGTTTGCATTTAGCGTACGGGCTGTACTTAAATATATTCTTGTTGAGTGTCTCAACGAGTTTTTCAGCTTAGTTGGCTAGTCCTTCTTATGCTCTGGCTTTACAATGACCTCTAACACCGCTTACATTATTACGGACTCTTATCCTGGTAGTTCTAACTCCATCACACTTCATGCCATAACGCGAGCCTGGGTTCAACACGAAAAGGAGAACATTTTGCACATTTTAATGTGGGTCTTGATTAAGAAAGTATTTTGACCTTCAACCTCTGAGATGGTTTACCCTTCACGGATGAGAATAACGTTAATGATGCCATTGTGATCTCACACCACAGTACTACAGTTCTATAGCAAGTGACCAGCCCTTGCTATCGAGGTGAATGTAGATGCGTCAGCACCATCAGTCACCAAATTTGCCAAGTCCAAAGAAGCACACGATTTACAGATTATTTGAGCGGGACAGAAATGCCATAATGGATAAAGAATTTATTCTTAACAAGAAGAATATCAAGATCCTTCGGAAATTCTCTAGACTCGCTTCCTGAATAGCAATGTGAGAGATAACATGGAATCCGAAGTCTTCTACGAAGGTGACTCAAGTTAACCCCCTTCTGCAGGAGAAAACTGAAAAACCATGTTTGACTGGGAAAATAAAGCCCAGAATATCTAATCAATTAATACCTTCGAAAGGGGTCTCAAGATATCTTTCGCACCATCCACAAGTGCGAATATATGTCATCCTGAAGGCATGCACGTTAGAGGAACTCTAGAAAGGTTACTGTGACCCAATATCCAGCCGATGCTACCGATGTAAGAGGCAATTAAGGAGGATTTTGGTGTCGATGGTCTTCCGATAGAAATAATGAATGATTCACTATCAACCAGCAACGTACACAGGATTTCATTTCGGGGTAGTACAAAATGAAAAAAATTGCTGTTGCAAACATAAATTTACTGTGAAAAAACTTAATTTCGGTGGGGGCCCGGAGATTTTTTAATTGGCATATCCTTTATATATCTGCAAGAGTATAGAGTATCCTTGTGATGGGACTAGAAGAGACATTTTGGAAATAAAGGCCGGGAACTTTTCGACTGACCGGTCCATTTTACAAATTAACCGAATGTTCTCTTATTTCCTCATTTATTTCAGGCTCTCTCATCCAATGTCAGTTTAAATGAAATAAGCTTCCAACGATCCAATGTTGGCGACAAAGGTTGTGAGGCCATTTGTAATACCATTAAATATTTGGAAAATATTGAAAAACTAAATTTATCCGAATGTCAGTTGACGACAAAAGGTGCCGAATTTGTGGCGGATATGGTGAAAATACAAAAAATAAGTCGCTACACAGAAGGCTGGCAAAAATCCTTGCGTTATCGAGATGTAGATCCTGATACTATGCCAGGCTTGAGATCACTCGCACTGGCTCGAAATCCTCAAATCGGAGATGAGGGTATAAAACCGATAGTGGAGGTGCTGAAGGAAGATGTGTGGATAAAGGGTGAGTAACAAATACCAAAGTTGGGACGTTCAGGAAGGATCTAGTTCAAAGGAATGAATAATTTCGCAAAAGGAACGATTGGTTGTACGTCCGATTCATTCGTACATCATGTTCCTTTTGTGCCAGTCGGGAGTTGGGTCGTTGCGGAATGAACTACTTCAAAAGAATGAACTATTCCGCTAAATGAACGATCGGTGCTAGGTCTTGTTCATTCGTTTATCTAGTACATTTTACTCCAGTCGTTCCATGGCGCAATGAATAGGTAGTCCATTTAGAGCAGCTGATGAAATAATGTCTCTCTTTTTACAGTTATTGACATGGAAAATTGTGGTCTTACCGATCGTGCGGCAAATCTGATATTGGATTGTTTGGAGCTGAATAATTATATTATCGACTTTAATGTTCGTGGTAATCCGGGTATAACTAAGTTCCTGCAACGCAGTATACGTGAACAATTGGGAAAAGAAGATGAAGACCAACTATTGTTGACGGAACAAAATCAAGAATTAGTACCAGGGCCGAATGGCACCATGATAAAAAGGCCAAAAGTAACCATAGCCGCCCTCAAGGAACAATTGAAAATTCTTGAAGAACAATTGGAATTTGAGCGTATGTTACGCGAAAAAGCGGAACAATTAAATGATAAACTTAATCAACAGATATTGGCCTATGAGTCACAATTGGAAACTAAAATGAACTCTCAAATACCAGATGGTTATGTACTGGTTAAGGATGAGTCCTTGCAATCGATTATAAGGGAGTAAGTATACAGAACATTTGATATACAAAGGACCTTCTTAACAATGTTTCTCTTTCCGCCTTCTTTATTATCCAGGCGTAATGACTTTCAAAAATTGGCCACAAGTGCGGCCGGTAGTAATGATGAAGCCACACCACGCCAAACTGTGCAGCGTTTGCAACATTCGATGGAAATAACCTTGAAAGATGAATCCGAATATCATGAAATGTCTAACCCGATTAATGGTAGTTCATCTAAAACCAGTGAAAAAACTCTAACACCAAAGGAGTCAAGAAAGTCGCATAAAGTTCGCAAGGTCAAAAGTGAAATAAAATATGCGGAATCACCCGCTAAGGAATCGGCGAAACGCAAAGTTTCAAAATCAGATCATGAATTCTCGAACGAGAGCGATGTAAGTTTAAATGCTTTAGAATTTCGCCGGGAAATTTATAATATTTTATGGTCATATAATTTGGAACTATAAACCCTTTTTAGGTGTAGGATATTTATAGCCGAATAAGGGTATATTTTTATTTATATATTTTTTTCTATTTATGTTGTTTTTATTTTTAACAAATACAAACTATTTTTTAAGTATTGAACTATTGTTACAAGATAACCATGAGATGTAACTAAAAATGCATACATAAAATCGTCGGACTATTATACTTCTATATGGAAGATATGCTAAAAATGCATACATAAAATCGTAGGACTATTATACTTCTATATGGGAGGTATGTCAAAAATAAAAGAAATCTGCTTAAAGTTTTTTAAATCGAAAGGGTTGTACACAGACTTTTCTCTTACTTCAAGAACCCTATGTGGCACATTAGCATCAATTGGAAAATCTCGGAAAATCTTGGAAAATCTCGCCCACGACCTTCAAAATGCTTGATTTAGGGCGGGATCTTCCTGTTAAGGTTATACATAACGTGGTTCTAAATGAAAAATTATCTGCAGAGATGTTTTACCCCTCAAGAACTCGGAATACCAAATCACAGCCACTTCGGTAGGAACCTGTGGTTAAGGGCTATACCCCTTTCAGTTAAAATGCGCCTAAAATCTTTAAAATGCGAAAATTAGGCGGAACATTTATGAAGGGGCAGTATCAAAAAATGGAAATAGGTCGAAAATTTTCTGCAAAGACTCAAAGTACAAAATTACAGTTAAAATTGCGGCCATAGCCTTCAAAACACCCGAAATGGAGCGGAATTTTCATGTGAGAGTTATACCAGAACATGTGCCATTAACGATATATTGAGATGTTTTTCACTATCCAAGAACTCAGATTCGATTAAAACGTTCAAAATACAAAAAAAAAAACGGAAGGCTTCTACATCGAACATTTTCTGCAGAGACGTGTTTCACCCTCCACGAACCCGGAGGTCCAAGTTACATCCACTTCTGTAATACATACAAAATACCAACAATTGGGCGAAAATTGGGGATATAACAAAATGTGACCCTGTATCGAAATTTTTCTGCTAAAATGTTTCTTCCTTTCCAAGCTCCCTAAATGCCAAATTATAGCCACTTCGGCAGCTAAAACTTCGCATACATAAATTTTGACCTACTTCAATTTGTGCCAATCGGTCTAAATTTGATTTTTGGTGATCCATTTACATAAAATCGGACAAAACTATATATGGGAACTATATCTAAATCTGAACCTATTCCAACAATATTTGGCATACATCAATCTGGGCCAAATCGGACAAATGGGAGCAGTATGGTGCCTCATTTACATAAAATCGGACGATCCTATATATGGGACCTATATATAAATCTGAACCGATTTCAACAAAACTTGGCATGTATCAATTTAGACCTAATTCAGCACTCTGTGCAAAATTTTGTCTCAATCGGACAAATGGAGCAGTATGGTGCTCCATTTACATAAAATCGGACGAAACTATATATGATAGCTATATCTAAATGTGAACCGATTTCAAAAAAAAAAACTTCCCATACATAAATCTGGGCCTACTTCAATACCCCGTACAAACTTTTGTCTCAATCGGACAAATGGGAGCAGTATGGTACTCCATTTACATAAAATCGGACGAAGCTATATATGGGAGCTATATATAAATCTGAAATCAACAAAACTTGGCAAGTATCAATCTAGACCTAATTCAGTACTCTGTGCAAAATTTGGTCTCAAATATTACCTAAAATCGACCGGAACCATATATGGGAGCTATATCTAAATCTGAATGGGCGAAATATGTGAACTGTGCCAAATTTCATCTAAATCGGATCATAAATGCGACATATACTTTGTTCACAAAAATACGTGGACGGTCAGATGGTCAGAAAGTGATTCTATGCATATTCTCAAAAGTAAACATGGGTCTATCTCGATTCCTTTTGCCTGTTACAAACATATGCACAAACACATAATACCCTGTACCACAGTGTGGTAAAGGGTATACAAAGATGATGTCGATGCTTTGGTGCTATAGAAGCAGCCATCCGAATCACCTCTTAATTCCCGTTTCCACGACAGAGGGGTCTACGATCTGAAACGACCCGAGTCTTACTCGGCCAACGTCTGTCACCTCAGCCAATTGTGTAAAAGCAATAGGGCTACAACAACAACAACCTATTAATTCCACAATAGAGAGGTCTACACAACAGGGATTAGGGCGATGTAGCTGATTCAATTTGAATTGTTAATGGTATAACGCTTAACATCTGTCCGGCATGTGGTAATGATCCACATGATGCCACACCTCTTCAAAACCCTGTCACCTAACCCCATATTCACTTTGATCGTATACAGATCATTGCTTTTTTGAATCTATTACACCCATGGTGAGCTACCGTAGTAATTGTTATTATAAGCAGAACAAAATCATGGTTCTAAGTTTCATGTACTTATTTATCTAATCTTAGGGTGTTTTCGTATAACCACTACCCAAAAGTTTTATAAATCATCATTGTTTTATTCTGTCATATTCTATATCGGAATTGTGTCTTGGTATTAACCCCATTATTAATTCACTGTTCAATTTAATTTCCAGGTCAATGTGGCCGCAATACAGATTGAGAGCAACATTGGTGATACCGTATCCAATAATACAAGTCGCAGTACAGTGTCCACGGTAATAAATACTCGCATGCAGCTGCGAAGTGCCAAAAAGAATAATGTAAATTTTTGCAATAACAACAACAACGCCAACGGCAATGGAGACAAAAACAGCAGCAACAACAACAATTTTTCACAAAATACATTTAACAAACATCACAATATAATTCAAAAGAAATTAGAACTGGACGATCTATCAATGACAACGCCGAGAAGTACAAATAGTGAAATTAATTCCACCTCCGATTCGGATACTTTACGCAATGACTTCATCGATAATTATCAACCGTTAAAGGTGTTTATGAGGAGGAGTAAAAAATCCCCAGCAATGCCATTGACACCTATACCAATGTCACCAAGAAGTACCACTAGTGATGATCCAGAGCAAGGGAATGTAGAAAAGTATTGCAATAATCGAAGAACTGTTGGAAAGAGCTTTGATAAATCACCACGTTCATTGTTTTTTGGATTGGCGGAGAATTGAGCCAGGCGAATTTTGGGGGCCCAGAGGAGAGTGCTGTGAAACCAGAAATATTTTGTAAATTGTCTGTGTAAATAATAATAGAATTCCTCAAATTAGATTTTATTTGAAATAATAGATTTATAAATAAATATATATTTTTATATATATACCCGTAAAAAGAGAAAAAAGTAGGACAGTCCATTTATTAATTTATATATATACCCGCAATATATTTTGCTGTCCGATTTAGGAAACTTTTACAGATGAAAGGTCTAAAGCTATGATTCTTAAAAGTAAAAAAATGTTTCCATTTTTATTGCTTAAATTAAATGATTTGAGGTCTCAAAAGGGGGATACGTCTCTGCTTTGCCCTCTTATTATTAATAATATTCTGGTAAAAAGTAAATTTTTTTGCAAAGTAAATTATTATTTCTATCGGGTTGAATCATAACTTCTCCTTTTCTAGAAGTCATATACGTTGGTACCTTTCGTAAACTCAATAGGAACCAGTAAGGAAAGTTCAAAAGTCGGACGGGGATGACTATATGATACTCTTCATCACTTTGGGTACATACAAGAGATGCTCATATGTACAATATCCTTTATATATGGAAGCTATATCTAATCGAATAAAATCGAATAAAAATAAAATCTGAACCCATTTCAACGTAGAACAGGATCTATGGAGCACCATGTACCTAAAGCAGGACTAAAGTATATATGTGCGCTATATTTAAATCTGAACCAGTAATTTCAGGACGCTGTGCAAATTTTTCTCTCAATCGGACAAACATTGAGAGTGTGGTACCCCATTTACATAAAATGGAAGGAAAGTATATATGGGAGCTATATCTAAATCTTAACCGATTCCAACAAAACTTCGGACACATAAATTTGGACCTAATTCAGTACTCTGTGCAAAATTTTGTGTCAGTCGGCCCAAATGTGACTCTTTGGTGCTCAATTTACATAAAATAGGACGAAATTGTATATGGGAGCTATATCTAAATCTGAACCGATTTCAACCAAACTTGGCATATATCAATCTGGACCTAATTCAGTACTCTGTGTAAAATGTTGTCTCAACCGGACCAATAGTGGCTGTATGGTGCTCCATTTACATATAATCGGACAAAATTACTATAAATGGGACATATATTTAAATCTGAACCGATTCTAACAAAACTTCACATACGTCAACCTGGACCTAAGTCAGTACTCTGTGCAAAATTTTGTCCCAATCGGACCAATATTGGGAGTTTGGTGCACCATTTACCTCAAATCGGTCGAAACTATATATATATAAGCTATATCTGAATTTGAACCGATTTTCTCCAATTTCAATAGGGTTCGTCCTTGGACCAAGTAAGTGACGTGTGCCAAATTTCATCCAAGTCGGATCATAAATGCGATCTGTACTTTGTTCATAAAAATACATGGGCGGACATGCATAAATCGACTCGGAAAATGATTCTATGCATATTCTCAAAAAAACCATGTGTCTATCTCGATTCTTTTGCCTGTTACAAATATATGCACAAAGACATAATATCCTGTACCACAGTTTCGTGAAGGGTATGAAAACAGTAAGGAAAGGAACCAATACGAACGTGACCGACTATTTGCAAGAGGTGCACATAACCCCCTTCGAGCATTATATAGAAACTTTATTCGAAAACAAACCCGATCGGAAATGGAACTGGGAAAAAGTGTTCGTGAACCTAATACAAATGCATGTATCTGCCAAAAATGCACAATTTCCATTGTAATTTCAACAGTTGCCCCATATGAAAACAACCACAGTTTAATTTAGACACCAAAATAGTATTGATATTCTTTATTAATTATACTGTCATATTAGTTTAAATTACAATCAAAATAGATTAGCCCAAATATGTTTATATTTTGTGTGCGGAAAATCGAATAAAATTTTTATTTTTGTCAAACTCAAATGGAATTCTTTAGTATTTAGTTGTGTCAATTAGATGGAATATATTTGGTTGATTCGCCTTTTTTTATTACCCATAATACATCAATGTGACAGTAAGAATGAGATCGTCTCCAGGAAAAATAAACGCTTAACCACCAAAACCGTACAAAGTACGGCCTTGACGCTTCAAGGCATAGACCACATCCATAGCTGTTACAGTTTTACGTTTAGCGTGTTCGGTATAAGTAACAGCATCACGAATTACGTTTTCCAAAAATACCTAAAATATGGAAATGGAAACAATTAGTATGTAATTACATTCTGGAATATTCCAACAAATAAATAAAAACAAATGTTTGTTCACAGACGCACACACACATCCAAACATACGTACCTTCAATACACCACGAGTTTCCTCATATATCAATCCAGATATACGTTTTACACCTCCACGACGGGCCAAACGACGAATAGCTGGTTTGGTGATACCTTGGATATTATCACGAAGTACCTTACGATGACGCTTGGCACCACCTTTTCCCAAACCTTTTCCTCCCTTACCACGACCAGTCATTGTTGTTTTTTAGTTGGAGTTTTTGGAGATTTTTAATGCGCGTTTTAAAATTGCCTATAATAAAAATGTGTGTGTTAATGGATGTTAATATTTTTTATGGTTTATTTGTTGTAAAAAATATAACGTAAATAGTTGGAAATAATAAAAAAATTCCCCCGGCGATATTTTACCTGATGCAAATTGCAGTCGATATTTTGCTTTTAATGGCAGGGTTGTCACGCTACGTAAAAGTGCGTATATACTACAGAGTTGTATTGTAACAGGGTGATTTGTTCATTTTTGTACACAATGTATTATGTTCACACAAAGAGTTTTACATTTGAGTGCGTGTTGATTTCGTGAACATAAAGGAATTTATATTTATGAATACTTGTATTTGTCTAGACAGATGCTTCTTACCTGCTACTTGGGTGGTCTCCGAATATGCCCTATATAATATAGAATAAAGTCTAGTTTAAGTAACGCAAATCGTTTTGGATTTTGTTGTAATCAGAGCTCTTAGCGCTATCAGTGGTAAAATTTTCGAAAACTATCGGCGACCGAACCTTAAGCTATTCTACTATTTGGGTGCCTACATTTGTTCGGATACTCTTCAGACTTGTTTGATAGGACTCTCTCTAGGTTATAAAGACCTCTCCAAACGTGCTTGGACGGTTAAAATTTGTATTTAAGAAAATCAAGTCATGAATCGACATGGCTGTTTCGATGGTGACACTGTAGGAAATGGTTCGGTAGGAAATATTATTTAAAAATCCACGCCTACGTTTGTAATGGTTCGGTAGGAAATATTCTTTAAAAATCCACGCCTACGTTTGTAATGGTTCGGTAGGAAATATTCTTTAAAAATCCACGCCTACGTTTGTAATGGTTCGGTAGGAAATATTCTTTAAAAATCCACGCCTACGTTTGTAATGGTTCGGTAGGAAATATTCTTTAAAAATCCACGCCTACGTTTGTAATGGTTCGGTAGGAAATATTCTTTAAAAATCCACGCCTACGTTTGTAATGGTTCGGTAGGAAATATTCTTTAAAAATCCACGCCTACGTTTGTAATGGTTCGGTAGGAAATATTCTTTAAAAATCCACGCCTACGTTTGTAATGGTTCGGTAGGAAATATTCTTTAAAAATCCACGCCTACGTTTGTAATGGTTCGGTAGGAAATATTCTTTAAAAATCCACGCCTACGTTTGTAATGGTTCGGTAGGAAATATTCTTTAAAAATCCACGCCTACGTTTGTAATGGTTCGGTAGGAAATATTCTTTAAAAATCCACGCCTACGTTTGTAATGGTTCGGTAGGAAATATTCTTTAAAAATCCACGCCTACGTTTGTAATGGTTCGGTAGGAAATATTCTTTAAAAATCCACGCCTACGTTTGTAATGGTTCGGTAGGAAATATTCTTTAAAAATCCACGCCTACGTTTGTAATGGTTCGGTAGGAAATATTCTTTAAAAATCCACGCCTACGTTTGTAATGGTTCGGTAGGAAATATTCTTTAAAAATCCACGCCTACGTTTGTAATGGTTCGGTAGGAAATATTCTTTAAAAATCCACGCCTACGTTTGTAATGGTTCGGTAGGAAATATTCTTTAAAAATCCACGCCTACGTTTGTAATGGTTCGGTAGGAAATATTCTTTAAAAATCCACGCCTACGTTTGTAATGGTTCGGTAGGAAATATTCTTTAAAAATCCACGCCTACGTTTGTAATGGTTCGGTAGGAAATATTCTTTAAAAATCCACGCCTACGTTTGTAATGGTTCGGTAGGAAATATTCTTTAAAAATCCACGCCTACGTTTGTAATGGTTCGGTAGGAAATATTCTTTAAAAATCCACGCCTACGTTTGTAATGGTTCGGTAGGAAATATTCTTTAAAAATCCACGCCTACGTTTGTAATGGTTCGGTAGGAAATATTCTTTAAAAATCCACGCCTACGTTTGTAATGGTTCGGTAGGAAATATTCTTTAAAAATCCACGCCTACGTTTGTAATGGTTCGGTAGGAAATATTCTTTAAAAATCCACGCCTACGTTTGTAATGGTTCGGTAGGAAATATTCTTTAAAAATCCACGCCTACGTTTGTAATGGTTCGGTAGGAAATATTCTTTAAAAATCCACGCCTACGTTTGTAATGGTTCGGTAGGAAATATTCTTTAAAAATCCACGCCTACGTTTGTAATGGTTCGGTAGGAAATATTCTTTAAAAATCCACGCCTACGTTTGTAATGGTTCGGTAGGAAATATTCTTTAAAAATCCACGCCTACGTTTGTAATGGTTCGGTAGGAAATATTCTTTAAAAATCCACGACTACGTTTGTAATGGTTCGGTAGGAAATATTCTTTAAAAATCCACGCCTACGTTTGTAATGGTTCGGTAGGAAATATTCTTTAAAAATCCACGCCTACGTTTGTAATGGTTCGGTAGGAAATATTCTTTAAAAATCCACGCCTACGTTTGTAATGGTTCGGTAGGAAATATTCTTTAAAAATCCACGCCTACGTTTGTAATGGTTCGGTAGGAAATATTCTTTAAAAATCCACGCCTACGTTTGTAATGGTTCGGTAGGAAATATTCTTTAAAAATCCACGCCTACGTTTGTAATGGTTCGGTAGGAAATATTCTTTAAAAATCCACGCCTACGTTTGTAATGGTTCGGTAGGAAATATTCTTTAAAAATCCACGCCTACGTTTGTAATGGTTCGGTAGGAAATATTCTTTAAAAATCCACGCCTACGTTTGTAATGGTTCGGTAGGAAATATTCTTTAAAAATCCACGCCTACGTTTGTAATGGTTCGGTAGGAAATATTCTTTAAAAATCCACGCCTACGTTTGTAGTGGTTCGGTAGGAAATATTCTTTAAAAATCCACGCCTACGTTTGTAATGGTTCGGTAGGAAATATTCTTTAAAAATCCAAAAATCCAGAAATATTCTTTGAAAATTGGAGCCTATGTCTGTGATGTTCTCATAGGAAATATGTATAAACATGTCGATAAAGTCGTTCAGAGAGTACATACACAAAAATTCTCTAAATATCTACACGGCAGCCAGGTAGAAGTATGCATTCATAGTTACCATTCTTTCTCTGCTAATAGAAAATATAAAAGATCGCCATTTTCTTTTCTATCTTCTTAAACTCCGGTCTATTTCTGCAGCAAATGTTCTAAATTTACAGATTTTCGTTAAGAACGCAGTTAAAGTTGCCCTGATATTTATGAAAGGAACATTAAACGACATATACTTTAGAACTTTTGACTGTGTTAATCTACTTTATGAGGATTTATTTGACAATTGAAACCCACTGGGTTACCGAAATCCGGTTAAATATAAACGTATTATTAAAAAATACGTGTTGATTAAATCTGAGATCATCAAAAAATTCTAAAATTTTCTGATTGAACATAATTGTTTCAGAAACGGGTTTCGAGTAAAAAGTTGGAAAACTTGAACGTAAAGTTAGTAGAACCTTTTAGGTTCTGGAATTATAATTATAATATTTGGCCAAATAAACCATGTATGAATTTAAAAAAAAAAATAATAAATAAATAAAATTCTAAAATATGAACCCTTGGTATCAACATTTATAATGTACGTGTTTTAGTTCATTGTAAATGTTGTATTAACCATCACACATAAATCCCAAAAACTACTTCATCAATCTGGCAACACCAATATGGTAACACCAATATGGTAACAATGCAATTGTATGACATTCGCATAGCAACCCTGTGTTTACAGCACGTAGTGGCATTTTTTTCGGCGTCGTCTATTGCAAGCAGCGAGGAAATATATTTGTGGAAATTATCATTTTCGTTTTTAAAAAAGAAATATAATACGAAAAACTAAAAAAATATACATTTATTTTTATTATATTAAGAAAAACAATTATCGAACATAACAGAATAAATCATGCTGAGCCGTAAACGACGAGCAAGTTCGATTAGCAGTAAGAATGACGATGAACCTTTACAAATGGACGACTCCACACCGGAGAAATCACCGGTATTGGCGACAGCATCAAATTCCATAATTTCCTCAATGACCGCTGTTCGCAAGAAACGCAAAATGGATTCGAGTGAAATGTGCCAGTCGCTATACGACTCCGTACGGAATCTGAAAAAGGAAGATGGTTCCATGTTGTGTGACACATTCATAAGGGCACCCAAGCGACGCCAAGAGCCCTCATATTATGATGTGGTCAACAATCCAATTGATTTGTTGAAAATACAACAAAAATTGAAAACCGATGCTTACGAAGATTTGGATGAATTGGTGCAGGATTTCGAATTGTTGGTAAACAATGCCAAGGCATTTTATAAACCAGACACCACAGAACATCAGGATGCCGTGGCATTGTGGCAATATGTCCTTGCCCATAAACAGAAGTTGCTCGAGTCTTTGGGGTTGGTAGAAGAAGAACCGAAAAATAAACGGGGCCGCAGACGTTTGACTTGCAACACCGATGAAGATGGCGGCTCCAAGGAAGATGACGTAAATCTATATGAAGAACTGTTTGCCTCTGTTATGACATCTGTGGACAGCACTATGAATGACAGACCCTTGCACCGCATGTTCCTATTGCTACCCTCAAAGAAAATGTATCCGGATTATTATGATGTCATTGAACATCCCATCGATTTGCGGCTGATTGCCACAAAGATACAAACCAATGCCTATTCCAATTTGCAAGAAATGGAAAAGGATTTGCTGCAAATGACCAAGAATGCCTGCCAATTTAATGAGCCCGGTTCACAAATCTACAAAGATGCCAAGACATTAAAGAAAATATTTACCCAAAGGAGGGTGGAGTTGGAAACGGGAAAAGTGAAACCCATCAAACGGCCAAAATCTCTAATGTCGGCTGCCATAGCGGCCCTTAAAGAAGAAGTCGACAGTTCGGATGATGAGGAGACCAGCAAAAAAGGAGAAGGTCCCATGTGGGCACTATTCGATCATCTATACAATGCTCCTGGTTTCTCTGAACATCCAGGAGCAACAGGTCCCCCCTTGGGCACCTCACTATGGAAATTACCCATACGCCGCTTTCATCCAGAATATTTTGAACTCATCAAACGTCCCATTTCCATGTGTCAAATTCACACTAAATTGAATAAAGGAGAATATGCCAACATCAGTGACCTTACGGCAGATTTGTATTTAATGCTTGACAATGCCAAAAAGGCCTATCCTCCGACACATCGCACCCACAAGGATGCCGTGAAAATGTTAAAACTAATGAATGCCAAACTGGTGGAAGATGCTCCCGATCAAGATACCAGTGAAATGGAAGATGAGGAAGAAGACGAAGAGGTCGATGATGATGAAAGTGAACAAAACACCTTGGTTGCATCTGCAGGTCCAACACCAAAGAAAAAAGGTCGTCCACGTCTTAATCAATCGGCCAATAGCAGTACCTTAAATACATCGGTGGTTGCAACACCTAAACCACAACGTATGACCATAACTCCGCCACTGAAGAAAAAGATCTTGGCTTTACATAAATATTTATTGGACTTTTCGTTGGGTACACGCAAACCTATAGATTTGTTTATGGAGAAACCACCTCGGAAAATCTATCCTGATTATTATGATGTCATACAAAATCCCATCGATATGAATACGATCGAGAATAACATCCGTGGGGATAAATATCGTGATGTTGAAGATGTTGTCGCCGATTATCGGTTGATGTTTGCCAATTGCCGGCAATATAATGAAGAGGGTGAGTTAATAATTTATATTTACTCCACTAAATTTAAATACGTATAGAGTAACTTCGGGTAATGTGGACCACCATTTTCATTTTTTGTATATTGTGGGCGTAACAAAGGTAAAAAATAAAAACAAATTGTTTTCACAACATGGTAGATTTGTTGGCTAATTATATTCCAGGTCAAAAATTATATATATTTGTCCATAAAAATGTTATTGCATTATATTTCAAAAAACTCTAAACTGCAAATAAAAATAACTTGGCGGGTAATGTGGACCAGTATGTGTGGGTAATGAGGATCAGTAAGATAAAGGTAGGTTGTGGATTAATTGTGATAAATATCAATTTATTGCACTCTTGGGTTACAATGAATGCAAAAATAGATGGGTCCATGTTTTGGAATAGCCGCCTTTTAGGGGTACCACCACATTTGCGGTATTTTGAAGGTCCTTGCTTCATTATCCAACCGAGGCACCTATAATTTCGGATATCGAGTTTTCAGAGGATAGAATACATCCTCGCATATTAAATGCGTCCTTGTTTCGAGCTCGTCCTCATGAAAATGCCCCACTTTTTTATAGTGGTCCACATTACCCGACATTGAATATTTTTATTTAAAAATAATTATCGGCTTCAAAAACGAATAAAAATTTAAAAATAACCGATTGTAATAACAGATAAACGTGTATTTTTGTTAAAGAAAACAAGAAAACCACATAACCCCTTTACATTCGAGAAAAACAAAATGTTCGATTATTTTACAAAATCGTTCGGCTATTGAGCTAAAAAATTTTCAAATCACACTTTTACAATCAGAGCTACATTTTCACCTACTAAATTTTCAACATTGCAATTATTTATTAAAAACCAAGTTTGATGTTTGTTTTCACTAATTGCGAACACATTTATCAAGGCGGCATTGACATATTTCAAGCATTTTCTTAGATATTGGGGGTGGTCCACATTTGACGCATGGTCCACATTACCAGAAGTTACTCTAGTTTTAAGATCGTCTAGAAAGATTCCCTTTAGCATGCCGAGAAAGACTCCCTTCAGCTCGTCTATAAAGACTCCCTTCAGCTCGTCTATAAAGACTCCCTTCAGCTCGTCTATAAAGACTCCCTTCAGCTCGTCTATAAAGACTCCCTTCAGCTCGTCTATAAAGACTCCCTTCAGCTCGTCTATAAAGACTCCCTTCAGCTCGTCTATAAAGACTCCCTTCAGCTCGTCTATAAAGACTCCCTTCTGCTCGTCTATAAAGACTCCCTTCAGCTCGTCTATAAAGACTCCCTTCAGCTCGTCTATAAAGACTCCCTTCAGCTCGTCTATAAAGACTCCCTTCAGCTCGTCTATAAAGACTCCCTTCAGCTCGTCTATAAAGACTCCCTTCAGCTCGTCTATAAAGACTCCCTTCAGCTCGTCTATAAAGACTCCCTTCAGCTCGTCTATAAAGACTCCCTTCAGCTCGTCTATAAAGACTCCCTTCAGCTCGTCTATAAAGACTCCCTTCAGCTCGTCTATAAAGACTCCCTTCAGCTCGTCTATAAAGACTCCCTTCAGCTCGTCTATAAAGACTCCCTTCAGCTCGTCTATAAAGACTCCCTTCAGCTCGTCTATAAAGACTCCCTTCAGCTCGTCTATAAATACTCCCTTTAGCTCGTCTATAAAGACTCCCTTTAGCTCGTCTATAAAGACTCCCTTTAGCTCGTCTATAAAGACTCCCTTTAGCTCGTCTATAAAGACTCCCTTTAGCTCGTCTATAAAGATTCCCTTCAGCTCGTCTATAAAGACTCCCTTTAGCTCGTCTATAAAGACTCCCTTTAGCTCGTCTATAAAGACTCCCTTTAGCTCGTCTATAAAGACTCCCTTTAGCTCGTCTATAAAGACTCCCTTTAGCTCGTCTATAAAGACTCCCTTTAGCTCGTCTATAAAGACTCCCTTTAGCTCGTCTATAAAGACTCCCTTTAGCTCGTCTATAAAGACTCCCTTCAGCTCGTCTATAAAGACTCCCTTCCGCTCGTCTATAAAGACTCCCTTCAGCTCGTCTATAAAGACTCCCTTCAGCTCGTCTATAAAGACTCCCTTCAGCTCGTCTATAAAGACTCCCTTCAGCTCGTCTATAAAGACTCCCTTCAGCTCGTCTATAAAGACTCCCTTCAGCTCGTCTATAAAGACTCCCTTCAGCTCGTCTATAAAGACTCCCTTCAGCTCGTCTATAAAGACTCCCTTCAGCTCGTCTATAAAGACTCCCTTCAGCTCGTCTATAAAGACTCCCTTCAGCTCGTCTATAAAGACTCCCTTCAGCTCGTCTATAAAGACTCCCATCAGCTCGTCTATAAAGACTCCCTTCAGCTCGTCTATAAAGACTCCCTTCAGCTCGTCTATAAAGACTCCCTTCAGCTCGTCTATAAAGACTCCCTTCAGCTCGTCTATAAAGACTCCCTTCAGCTCGTCTATAAAGACTCCCTTCAGCTCGTCTATAAAGACTCCCTTCAGCTCGTCTATAAAGACTCCCTTCAGCTCGTCTATAAAGACTCCCTTCAGCTCGTCTATAAAGACTCCCTTCAGCTCGTCTATAAAGACTCCCTTCAGCTCGTCTATAAAGACTCCCTTCAGCTCGTCTATAAAGACTCCCTTCAGCTCGTCTATAAAGACTCCCTTCAGCTCTAAAGACTCCCTTCAGCTCGTCTATAAAGACTCCCTTCAGCTCGTCTATAAAGACTCCCTTCAGCTCGTCTATAAAGACTCCCTTCAGCTCGTCTATAAAGACTCCCTTCAGCTCGTCTATAAAGACTCCCTTCAGCTCGTCTATAAAGACTCCCTTCAGCTCGTCTATAAAGACTCCCTTCAGCTCGTCTATAAAGACTCCCTTCAGCTCGTCTATAAAGACTCCCTTCAGCTCGTCTATAAGGACTCTAGTTTTCACCTCCTCTATTAAGATTTTCTTCGCTTCCGCTCTTCCATCGAACTGATTTTTTCTTATATCAGAAAGTCTAAATATTTTTCCTTTTTCATTTTAGGTTCCACTATCTATGAAGATTCCAATATTTTGGAAAAGGCCTTGAATGAAAAACTTGTTAAAGATTTCCCAGGCTTGAATGAAATCAAAAAGCCTTTGCAAAAACTTAAATGTGGTCGACGTCGTGCCAATGTACCAATGGGTGAAAAATTATGGCAATTTTATGAATCGATTCGTGATTATCAGGAGCCCAAAGGAAAACGGCAGCTATCGTTGATATTCACCAAGTTACCGTCAAAAACTGACTATCCCGATTACTATGATATTATTAAGGAACCCATCGATATGGAAAAGATTGCCAATAAGCTGAAGCAAGGAGTTTACGAGACCATAGATGAATTGGCCGCAGATTTCCTTTTGATGTTGGAAAATTCCTGTAAATACAATGAACCTGATTCACAAATCTACAAGGATGCTTTGGTCTTGCAGCAGCTGACATTGCAATTGAAACAGAGTTTACGTAGTGCTGGTGATACAGTACCTGATGTTGGTCTCGCTGTACAGGAGTTATTAATGTCACTGTTCTCTTCACTATATAATCATCAAGATGAGGCAGGACGTTGCTATTCAGATTCGTTACTGGAATTGCCGGAATATGATGAATTGCCAGGTGATCAGAAGGTACGTGGTATATCATTGGATGTAGTTAAACGTCGTTTATATAAGGGTGTCTATAAACGTTTGGATATCTTCCAAGAAGACGTCTTTGCCTGTCTGGAGAGGGCTAGAAAATTATCCCGCACTGATTCGGATATTTTCCAAGATTCTATAGAGTTACAGACATTCTTTATTAAGAAACGAGATGAAGTTTGTCGTGACACTTTGAGTAGTCCCGCTTTGAGTTACACCTTGGAAAAGATGTTGGCTGAAGTGGAGCAATTGAAACAACAAAAATCTTCACAAGAGGAACAAGAACAGGATCAAGATGACAAGGAAGATGTAGATCGTGCCGCCATGCAGGGAGAAAGTATGACATTTAATCAGAAGGTCTTCTCCCCCGGAGATTTTGTGTACTTCACCCACAATGAACATAAATCGCTGAGTATCGCCTATATTGAACGTCTCTGGACCACCGAGGATGATAAGAAAATGATGTATGGTTCGGTATTCTTGAGTCCCCATGAAACCTATCATGTCCAGACAAGAAAATTCTTCGAGAAAGAAGTCTTCAAGAGCAGCGTTTCCCAGAATATACCCATGGAAAGGGTACAGGGTAAATGCTATGTAATGCACATCAAGGATTACATCAAGGCTAAGCCGGAAAACTTTGATGACAAAGATGTGTTTGTGTGCGAATCACGGTATCATGTGCGATCAAGATCTTTTAAGAAATTCAAAAATTGGCCATTTGTCCGAGAAAATGATCCCGTGAAGTTGACACCCCGAGATAAGCCCATTGAAATAAAGCGTGTTATGTCGGTGTTCAAGGAACGTGTGGAGAAACACAAAGGGGAATTGGAGGAATTGAAAATGCAGGAATCGTTGGTGGAGAAGGAGAAACCCAATGTGGCCTGTGATCCCCCACCAAATGCCGAACCCAATGCTGTGTACTATCAGCAGTTCAACACCATTTGTAGTGGTGTGGTGAAGACGGGTGATTTTGTGTATGTGGCCACTCAGGGTGGCAAACAATCTATTGCTCAAATTCATCAAATCTGGGAACAGAATAATAAATCCTACTTTAAGGGTCCCTGGTTGTTGGCTCCCAACGAGATTCAACCTCCATTGCCCACCCAGCCACCGTTTGGCAAACAATTCTATCGCCAGGAGTTACTCCTCTCCACAGTTGAAGAAGCCAGTCCCGTTATAAGCATTGTGGGACGTTGTGCCGTTTTGGAATATCAGGATTACATTACCTGTCGTCCCACCGAATTTGTTGAAAGCGACGTTTATATCTGTGAAGCTGCCTACGATGAGTTACGCAAGTCATTGCGTAAATTTACCGCCCCAAATTCATTGCGGAGGTTTATTCACAGTCCAGAAGTGACCCAAGATGAAATATTATATTTCAAAGTTCCAATTAAACCGTCCAAAGATGTTAAGAATGGGGATTTAAATGAAAGCCTCGGCATTATGGAAGATTCTATGGATGGTAATCCACCTTCGGTTAGTTCAGATATTGTAACCACCTCATCGCCGGCACCATCCGTCTCCTCCACGCCAATATCATCGAAGGCCAAAAAAACCACCAAGAAGAGTCTCACTGGTTTTATTCTCTATTCCAGTGAGCATAGAAAGGGTGTTTGTACCGCCAATCCCGATGCTTCATTCGGTGACATTTCTCGTATGGTTGGTAATGAATGGAAAAATCTACCGGCCAATGTTAAACAGGCATGGGAAGATAGAGCTCAACGCATCAACGAGGAGACCAAGGCACGTTGTGAACTCATGGAAGAACAACAAATGTTGACCATGAACAATTGTGCCAGTCCGGGACCAAATCAAACTGGCGAAAACCAACAGATTGGTCTCACCTTTGAATGCCACTGGGATAAGTGTGACTTTCAATTTGAAGATTCGGTCGATTGTATGGAACATTGTATTGCCGACAATACGGGCCATGTACAGCGAACCGCCTCACAGCAAACTGAAAATGAGTATTACTGCCAGTGGCGTAATTGTATACGCATGAAGAAGAATCTGCAGGCTTTCCCATCGCTGGTGAGGCTTATCAAGCATGTGCGTGAGGTGCACTTGACCAAGTGTAGTAAAGTAATTTTGCCTCACGAGCGCAGTAAAAACTTTGTGCCGCGCAAAATAAAACCCGCTCAAATTATGACACAACAACAGCAAATGCAGCAGCAACAACAAATGGGCAATAATACAATGAATCCAATGGTGGTCAATGCAAGTCACTCACCACGTGGTGTGGAACAACATCATTATCCCTATCAGCAGCAACCACAAATATTTGTACCTCCTCCAGAACCATTATTTGTTACGGTACCACCAAGGCCTCAACGTGTTCTACACTCGGAGGCGTATATCAAATATATAGCCTCGCTGCAAGGTACCACCCATCAACAGAATGCTCAAAATTCGGCCAACTGGAAGAGAGCTTTGACGCCAATAACACCCGCCGATATAACCAAACCCAAGAATCTCTTACCCTCCCAATGGTTGGGACGTTATGCTAGCAGCAATGCTGATGATGTTGTCCGAGCTCTGTGTCACATGCGCAACTACATGATGAACGATGTACTGCAGATAGAACGTACATTGGATAGCTTTTAAGAATGACAGTTGATTTTTTATCTTTCTCTTTCTCTCCCTCTCTCTCTCTCTCTCTCTCTTTCTATTTTTTATTCTTTTGTTTACTTTTTTTTTGGATAAGCGTACAATTTTGATAATTGATAATTATTGTAGATTTAAGATTTTGAAAAAGTATTTGTATTATGCGCGATGTACATGTAATGTATTATGTATAAATAACACATATTACCGCTATCTATATATGTATGTATTTGTACAGTAATAAATGGTGTGAGAAAAAAAATGTATGACTTTTCTTTATCCTTATGGGAAATGTTCATTGTTATTACTTTCGAAGTATGTAAGGGGCCATCCAAATTCCATTTATACATACAATTATTTTTTGAGTCGATCTATGCATGTCTGTCCATTTGTGCGTGTATCTGTCTTGTCCATGTATTATTGTAAGCAGTGTATGGGTTGCATTTATGATCCGAATGGAATGAAATTTGTCACATCTCATTTATTTAGCCCAAACAGGAACACGATTGGTGGAAATCGACTCAGATTTCGATATAGCCCTCAAATTTAGTAGCGATAGATTTTTATACTTACTTTTTTACCAACGTATTAATAATAAATCGATATTTTTCTGATTTCAAAATTTATTTATTTATTGTATATTTCAAATTGTCTTAAATTTGCACTTTATTTAATATTCACTTGGTTTTTGACACTTCGTAGATATTTGTTGATCATTTCTACCCTGTGAGATACCTGTAGAGACGAGCTTCTGATAAGCAAAGATATGCATTTAGAAAGAAAACGTAAATGCCATTAAAACAAAAGCCCGGAACTACAGGGTAGGTCACGGGAGCGTTTTTGTGTGCAGCGTTTTATTTTATTACATTTAATGTTGTTATTTAATATATATGTGAATTGGACTGAACATAAAATATATAATTATCAAATTTAAATAAAATTAATGCATACATATAAATAGAAATTGCCAGAAGTCTCATTGGCTATTTTGGTGTCTGCTATTTTTGACTGGGAATGGTTGGTTATCTGTAAAATTAAAATAAAATATATATCAATCAATAAGTTTTGAAAATTATTAAATTGGTTAAATTTAGGCAATCGAAAGGACTCAATTCAATTAAAGGCTAGGATTCGGATAGTCTCTATAGACGAATTGAAAACCAGGGAGCGTCTGTAGACAAGCGGACACTAGAGAGTCTTCATAGACGAGCTGAAGGTCAGATAGTTCTTACATACGAAATGAATACCAGGGACCTTTATATATGAGCTCATGGTCTGAGTCTATATAGACAAACCAGCTGAAGAACAGATTTACTTTGTTGATTAACTGAATCAAAGAATCTTTATAAACGAACTGTAGGTCAGAGAGTCTCTATAGACGAACTGAAGCAAGGAATTGAAGATCACAGAGTCTTTACAGATCTTTATAGATGACGTGAATCAGGAATTAGTCTTTATAGACGAGCTGAAGGGGGTCTTAATAGACCAGAAAGGCAGTATGATTAGAAAAAAATACCAATTGTATTTATAGTTTAGCTGAAGGCCAGGAAATCTTTATAGACGAGGTGAAGAAAGTCACAATTGAAAAGATGGAGGCCAGCGTGTCTTAATAGGTGACCTGTAGGCAGGAATAACAGGAGTATTTATAGAAGAGCTGATGGGAGTCCTTATAAACTAACTGAACTGGAGAAGCTGAAGGCCTCAGAGTCTTTATAACGATTTGATGACAAGGGGGGGTTAGGAATCTTTAGTGACAATCCAAGGACGAGCTGTAGACCAGGCAGAGGGGGTCTTCATAGACCAGAAAGGCAGAAGGACTACAGAAAAATATAAAATGTATTTATAGACTAGCTGAAGGTCAGGGAATCTTTATAGATGAGCTGAAGAAAGTTACAGTTGGCAAGTTGGAGACCAGCGTGTCTTAATAGGCGACCTGTAGGCAGGAATAACAGGAGTATTTATAGACGAGCTGATGGGAGTCCTTGTAAACAAACTGAACTGGAGAAGCTGAAGGCCTCAGAGTATTTATAACGGTTTGATGACAAGGGGGGATAGGAATCTTTAGTGACAAGCTGAATGCCTCAGAGTCTTTATAACGATTTGAAGAGCTGTAGACCAGGCAGACTCTTAAGAGAAAACTTTATAGACATGGTTAAGGGCAGATTGTCTTTAGAGACGAGCCGAGCTGAAAACCAGGATTATCAAGGCAAAAATGCATCGATTCTTGTGTGGCTAAAAAAACCCCATTCTATAACACTGTGAAAATCTGTTTTAAGGGGCCCCCCGGTGTCAAAAAATTTTATTTGGTTTTTCGAATCTACACTAATTCAAGAATGTCCCTACAAAATGTTAAGTGAAAATATCAAAAACTCTTGAAGATATAGCCGATTTACAGCATCAAATGGCGGCAAGAGTGTTTCTCAAACTTTAAACGCATTTTTCTCGAAGCAGTATTTTTAAGAATGGCGGGCACGATAACTCAAAAACTAATAATCCAATCGGTTCCAAATTTTGACACGTTTCTCTGGGAGTGTATGAACTAGGCTAAAGCCAATAAACTTCTATAAAGACTCCCATCAGCTGGTATATAAAGACTATTCCAGCTTGTCTATAAAGTCACCCTTCAGCTCGTCTATAAAGATTATTTGCACTTCTGGTCTCTCTGGCCAATATCTGCATTTCCTGCATTTAACTCTAAAATATATATTCTATAATTGTCGTCTAATAAGTCTTCTAATGGACAACCTCCTGATTGTCTACTCCCTAACATTATACATAATATGTATGTGTATATCTATGTAGGCCTCTGTGTTGTGTTTGTGTATGCGTGTGTTCCCTTGAGAATTTAATTATACTTTTAATTTATGCATATTTACTCACAAAACCACATTTGAAACCACAAAAGTTGCAGTTGTTGGCGGCTTCAAACACAAAAGTTTATTTGTCGTTCGTGTGCAAACTTTTGTTGCAAATGTGGCCAATACATTTTACACTTGGTTTGCAAAAGTTTTATCTGCCTACATGTCTAAATTGCAAACGCATACATACAACCATGCGAGAGTACATATGTATCTATGTATGTATTTACGCATTATGTTCATAATGTGAATCCGAAAAGTGGCAGGGGGCTTAAGGAGTTTAACTCCTGGGAATTGCTAACACAAAATCCCCAAAGACCGCTGTTATTTTAAAGAAGAACAACTGATATTAAATTTGAGATTGTAGATTAATTAAAAACAAAAAATGATTTATGCAATTTTTAGATAAGATTTTTTCTTTTAATTAAACACTGTGACTTGTTCTCTCTTCGAAGTTTGCATTAAGTTTAAGAAATTTCGTTCGGAATGAACTTTTATGCATTTTTTCATTCTTTCCGTATAAAAATAACTCCAAATTGTTTTTCATTTTTCAATTTACCATTATGACCATAATTTTACAAGTTCACACTTTATTTATTATTGCCAAGGAATGTCTAAAGTCAGAACAGGCAGAAAAATGTATCCATTGTTGCATTCTGCATAATGCCAACATAAATTTTCCAAACAACAAAAAATAAAAAATAACTCCAAAATTTGTGTTCTTACACCAAAATGAAACCATTTACGAGGGTTAACACTGAGTGTTGTCTGGTGCATTATTGTACAACAAGAAACATATCCCATAAACACAATGGGGAACTACAAAAAATTCAAACAATTCCGAGGGAATCTGTGAACCGATATTGAAAATTTTCTGCCAGGGAGTAATTTATCTTATAAACCTGAAATTCCAAATTGCGACTTGAAATAAAATGCAGCCAGTGGCTTTAAAGGAACCTCCCATTCTCGGTTTAAAAAATCGTTTTTTTTTTTTTTAAATATGAACCATTACTTCACAGAATGTCTATTTAAATTTCAAATGAAAATCTAAAGAACTCTTGAAGATATAGCCGATATATGGAGTCAGCATCAATCGACGACAAGAGTGCTTCGCAAACGTTAAACGTATTTTTCTCGAAACAGCGTTTTTACGATTGACGGGCACAATAACTCAAATACTATTAATACAATCGGTTCCAAATTTTAACACGTTTTTCTCAATCTGCATAGCCATCTTATAAACTAGGATAAATCCATTCGGTGAAGACCTTCCCTATTTTCCCAGCTAGGTTTTTGGTCAATAATAGTTGGTTAAAAAAAAATATATATTTTACTAATTTTTAAACGAAGTCAATAATCCTAGTTTATATAAGAGCCAGATATTTAGTATTTCTAATTACGTTGGGATTTTGAGATTCGGATGTTTCAGTGATCGGCAATCATGTCCGCCGTCGGAAAGAAGGACTTTCCTTTAACCCGAATCAGCACAATGTTACCATAGGGTCACATACACAACAACACACACATAATCCCTATGACCTACATAAATGCCCTATTTTCGAAAAATTAAAAAAAGTTCTGGGTCGATTCGGGTTACGATCGACGGACAAGATAACTCAAATACTATTAATTCAATCAGTTCGAAATGTTAACACTTTATTCTCGACCTGCCTAGCCATCTTATAAACTAGGATAAATCCATTCGGTAAAGACCTTCCCTATTTTCCCAGCTAGGTTTTTGGTCAAAAATAAGTGGTTAAAAAAATCTATTTTACTAATTTTTAATAATCCTCTTTTGACTTGCACGAAATTTTGCACAGCGTAATGAATAAGGTCTAGAATGATGTTTGCCAAGTTTCGTGAAAATCGGTTCAGATATAGATGTAGCTCCCATATATATCTTCGTCCGATTTAAGGTTAATTGTGTACCAAAGTCCCTATATATCTCTCGATTTGCACGAAATTTGGCACAGCGTACTAAATAAAGTATAGAATGATGTGTGCAATGTTTAGTGAAAATCGGTTCAGATTTAGAAATAGCTCCCATATATAGCTACGCCCAATTTTAAGTAAATAGTCCACTAAAGTCCCTGGAAATCTTTTGATGTGCACGAAATTTGGCACAGAGTTATGAATAAGAGCGAG